GCAGAGGAAGGCCGAGAGCAGCACCAGAGAGCCAGCGCAGCCGAAAATAAATGCATAAGCAAATAAAATGACAATAAATAAAATAAACAAGACCCTGTTGGGAACTCCCTGGTGGTCCAGTGGTTAAGAATCTGCCGTGCAATACAGGGGACTCGGGCTTGATCCCTGGTCAGAGAACTAAGGTCCCACATGCTGCAGCGCAACTAAGCCCACACACCACACCCAGAGAGTCCTCGTGGCACAACGAAGACCCAATGCAGCTGAATAAATACTTTATTTTTTTCAGAAAGACATACTGTAAAGCAAAAGGGTGAGCTGCAGACAGAATGGTGTGATCAGGACGTTAACTTCTGCATAAAAAAGCAGGGAGGGTATTTTTCTTTGATTTTATTTTCAGGAAACAAAGCACTGAAAGGAATTATAGGAAACTAAGCAGCGCACCCAGGAGTGGGGGAGAGGGTGGGAAAGACCCCCCGGAAACAGACAAACAGAAACACAAGGGTGGGAGGGAGCCTGCCCTACTGCGTGGTTTTCTCTTTTTGTTTTTTTTTTTTTTGAAAAATTATAATTCTGGCCATGGATTTTTTTAAAAAAGGAGTAATTATAAAGCTTTTATCTTGCCAAAACATACAAAAATAAAAAGTAGCACACCGACCAATGCAACAACATAAATGAATCTCAGCATGATGTTGAGTGGACCCAAAAGCACACAGTACATAATTCCATTTATGTGAAGTTTAAGAATAGGCAAATCTAACTGATATGAGAGAAATAAGGAGTCATCACCCCTAGCAGATACTGACTACGAGGCACAAGGAAACCCTGGACAGTGGAATGTGCTATATCTTGATTTAGGTGCTGGTTACAAATGGGCTTATATGTGTTCAGCTTCACCAAGCCATACAATTTAGTGTACTTAATGTCCTTTATTCTGTGTGTATGTGGATACATATGTTACACTTCAGTAAATGTTTTTAACAGTATCAAAACTGTTTTTGAGGAGGGGACTTCCCTGGCAGTACAGCCTTAAGACTTCACCTTCCAAGGCAAGGGGTGGGGTTCGAACCCTAGTCAGGGAGCTAAGATCCACATGCCTCTGGGCCAAAAAATCAAAACAGAAGCAATACTGTAACAAAGTCAATCAGGACTCTAAACATGGTCTACATTAAAAAAAAATTTTTTTGAGGAATATTTAATGATGTGATAAAAAAAGCCTCTAATAGCGAGTTAAAAAAAGGTAGAATTTGACACTGATAAGGACTATAATCATACTTCTGAATTAGAATAAGCAATAGGAGAGGGAAAGGATTAAAGAAAACACCAAAAAGATAACTCTGATGGCAGAATTTTCTTCATACTTCACAGTATCTGAAAAATTATTCACAGTTACCAGTCAGATAAATAATCATATATATGCTTTTTAATTCAGAAAAAGGAACAATCTGGGGTTTGAGGACATAATAGAAAAAAATTAAGATTTAGAAGTTTAATTAACAGAGCCTTTAAGCATTTAAAAATACAACAATGTTGGTACAAACTTAACTGACTACAAAACATCCAGTGCGCAAACATGGCCTGTTTGTTTTTACAAAGTACAAGATATCCAGAAAGGGGAGGAAAAAAAAAACAACCCTGAGATTGTTAAGAAGGCAGAAAAACTACTGTGGTGGAGACTGAGAGACAGTAAATTAGAAAGCTGAAGGTTTTCTCACAGATAATACAAATGGGTTGAAACCAGATTAGAAAAACTCTGAAGGCTCAGCTTGTTAGGCTGAGGCTTTGCTCTCCTAACCTAAAGATTTTAAAAATCTAAGAAAGGCAGTAAGATTTAATAATGGATGTCTAGACATACCCCGATGTGTACAGAGAAGGAGTAAACAAATATTCAGTAGGCGACTGTCCCTTCAGGAAGTTTAGTGAGACACCCACCACTGAAGTCGCTCAGTCGTGTCCGACTCGTTACGACCCCATGGACTGTAGCCTAACAGGCTCCTCCGCCCCTGGGATTTTCCAGGCCCGAGTACTAGAGTGGGTTGCCATTTCCTTCTCCAGGAGATCTGCCTGACCCAGGGATTGAACCCGGGTCTCCTGCATTGGAGGCAGACGCTTTACCATCTGAGCCACTAGGGAAGCCCATCCCACCCCAAACAGCCCATTATTAGGATTATATATAGGCTGTGCTGTGATCAACCATGTCCAACTCTTTGTGATCCAATGGATGACAGCCTGCCAGGCTCCTCGGTCCATGGGATTTCCCAGGCAAGAATACTGGAATGGGTTGCCATTTCCTTCTCCAGGGGATCTTCCTGACCCAGGGATCGAACTCACGTCTCTTACAACTCCTGCATTGGCAGGTGGATTCTTTACCACTGCACCACCTGAGAAGCCCTTACATATGTCTTACTTATCCATAATTAGAATTCAAATTTTAATTCTCACTTAGTAGAAGTAATTAATTCTAGATTCTCATCCATTACTTCAAGTGGAGGTTATTTTTATGACATTAATTTTTAATAGCCAAAAAGAAAAAATACTAACCCACCCCACTGTCAAGTACTGTAGATGCAGCATCAAACATTTTCACTTGGGCAGCTATGTTATCGGAGCGAAACCCACTGGAGCAGAATTATTGCATAAGAGTGGAGAAGAGAGAGTAACAGTCTGCATCTGGTTGTGGAAGTAAACTCAGGCAAAAATGAAAATGAGGGATTGCGGTCAGCAAAGCACACCTGAGCAGGTGAGGGGAGAGAGAAAAATGGAAGGAAAAACACAATACTGTAGCTTAAACCAAGAGCTTAATTCAAATAGCCTTTCTCAGGCACTTCAGCTGAGAAAACAAGGGAAAAGGAAATGAGGAATTTAAGTGATTAAGTTTTGCATGAAACATTAGTGTGTTCAAAGTCTCATGTCTGCTATTCAACAGATGATTATCTACTTTCATATGACGAAACATTTATTACTAGAGACAAACTACGAAGTTCACAAGAAACAATCTATAGGCTAGCTATCAAATTTCTAGAGATTCAGAGAGGAAGCATTATAAAAATAATGCCTTTTTAAAAATTAAAAGTCCCCTCACTTCATCATCATCACCACCCCCTAAGTTGCTATGGCTACCTTCTGTCAAATTATCAGAAGCACCTAGACCTGACTGAACTTCCACGACGGTAAGGCCAGATGAGGAGTCAAAGTTCCCTGGGACCGCAGCATCTCGGGCCCTGGCCTCTCCTGAGTCACGCTTTAGGCCCTCGAAACCGTAGGTAAACAAGCCCAGCAGCCAGTGGAAACTGGCACGCCCAGAAACTCTCCCGAAACCCTGACTGCACAGTTCACAACAGACCGCCCTATTCCCTCTGCGGGTGGCTCTGCCTGGAGCTGAGGTCAAAGAGAACAATCCCCAACACCCTCACCTGTCATGGGGGGACAAATGAGAAAAACAAGCAGCGGGCTTCCAGGAGAGGTCAGGTACGCAGGCACCCACACACCAAACCTTCTGGTTTTTCCGACTGCTTTGTCTGCTTGGTCTTGGTACTTCCACTAGGAAAATTTCATCTACATTCCTAAATTTCTTCAAATATGAGGTGCACAGCATGCAAGAGCTAGGAGCCTTCCAGATGATCAGTATCTCCACCCCGACCTGAACAGCAGGACGCACCCTCAACCCGCTCCGCTCTGCTCCCACTGGCCAAAACCAACCTATCCTGGAACCAGAATCCAGGAGTCTCAACTAACCTTCACGGCAAGAAACCAGTCTGCTCAAAGAAAGCGAGGAAGGCAGTTTCTGAGGCTGCTCTCTCAAGAAATAACACAGCATTTCCAAGAAACAAAGCTTGGAACATCCCGAAAAACAGGCTAGTTAGCTGTCAGTGTTACCAACCAGGGGTCTTGGCCTCCTTAACTTAAAAAAAGAAAAAAAAGATCACAGGCCAGACAAGAAATTCAGGCAAGGCTTTCCTGGGGCACCTGCTACAGCAGGAGGAGCAAGAACGAACAACCGGCTCCCCTGCCTGCCTGATTCTTGAGGGGCGGTGGGCTTAGTCTTCAGATGGGTGAGGGTAGGGTGACTCCCAGGGTCGGGTCAGAGGCGTTGCCGAGGTGGTTTGCCCACCGCTTAGGTGGTGCTGTGTGCAAGGGCCTGCGCAATACCCTGCTTTTGCTCCCGACCCTCTGCTTTTGCTCCAGGCTCTTCAAAAATAGCAGTTCGGTTTTTTGGTCTCTTTGTATCCTTTGTCCAGAATCTGCCCCAACTGTGCATGCATGCAGTTGTCTTTAGTCCCAGATAATTCGCTCCAGGAGAGGTGTGTCCAGTGCAAGCATTGCAGCACTGCAGCAAAGGACTCCAGGTCCCAGTTTGTCTCATCAGTAACATGCATTTGGGAGGTAGTTTTGGTAAGAGGGACTTTCTACACTTTCACATCATTTAGGAAGCCACCTACTGGTAGCATTAACAGTATATGCAAAAAAAAAAAAAAGAACCTGCCCTAATCTCTACCTTCACTAAAGTATTTCATATATCTATGTTAGCGCTTGTGAGTCACCAGGCTGTTCTCCATGTAAAAGGTTTAAAGATCTCCTACCTGCCACCACCCTAAAAACACCCTTGTGGATCTTGACCCAAGACAGTGCTTCCCTCCAAAACAATCAGCAGGAAAACAAAAGGGAAGGGGAGAGGAGTTGTTTTTGTTCTTCAAAGCCACTTATGTTTTTTGTCCCTCATGATTCCTTTAAAAGACATTTCTGCTCAGGGCCTAGATCCACTTCTTAGAAACACAAATCTGGCTTTTCACCTCGGAGTAAATCCATGTCCATTCACCCCACTTTATTAATGTTCAAAGTAAAACCTGAGGCCTCAACTTTTGCGATATACAAAGACAATAACTCTAAGAATAAAGTTTCACAAAGCACATCAGATCAAATTTAAAGACAGTTCTGGGGTGTTTACAGAAAAAAAACAAAACAAAGCCAAACTGGATGTATACTGACGTTCATAAAACACTTACCCACTCTTCAACATTGGGAGGCTGTTCATCATAAATACGTTCCTTGTCCCACAAAATATTTGACTTGTCATACCGGTTCATCTTTCTTCGAGTTTTCACAGCAAAGAAAATTGTTAGAGCAAAAGCCACAATAACCATGAACCCCAGTACAATGGCAATGGCCTAAAAAGAAATGAAAGATATGCAGATATTTAGTTTTTAATTGTTTCAGTTCAGTTCAGTCGCTCAGTCGTGTCCGACTCTTTGCGACCCCATGAATCACATGGACAGGCCTCCCTGTCCATCACCAGCTCTCGGAGTTTACTCAAACTCATGCCCATCGAGTCAGTGATGCCATCCAGCCATCTCATCCTCTGTTGTCCCCTTCTCCTCCTGCCCCCAATCCCTTCCAGCATCAGGGTCTTTTCCAATGAGTCAACTCTTCCCATGAGGTGGCCAAAGTACTGGAGTTTCAGCTTCAGCATCAGTCCTTCCAATGAACACCCAGGACTGATCTCCTTTAGGATGGACTGGTTGGATCTCCTTGCAATTCAAGGGACTCTCAAGAGTCTTCTCCAACACCACAGTTCAAAAGCATCAATTTTAATTGTTTACTTTATTCCAATCCACACTCTACAAATACCTAAGGCCCCACTAACTAGCTTAACTGCTCTAAAACTGATACAAACGGTTACACTGTAAGACTGCAAAACTAGCCCAAGCCACATGGGTTAAAGGCTACCAAAACACACAGAGACACACATACACACACAGACATACACACACCTCCACCATGAGTCAGTCCTCGGAATATGCATCCCTGTTTTAGAATTATAGAAAACTAGTTCTAAAGTCTGAGAACTAGGGGCCATATTTTCATAAATAGAGGATAACAGCCAATAAATTAACTCAATCCCTGGTATCCTTCTAAAGGGTTTTGAAAAATGTTATTCACAGAAGTTGTTTCAAATATCCAACCATGCTTATATATAGTCTTGTTCATAACACATGCTTGGCTCAACTTTTTACAGTTGAATGTAAATTTCAGTCCAAAAAGAATCTGCCTTACCATAAATTATGCAGACATAATCTAACCAAGCCATAAATGAAAGAAAATGGGCGGACAATTCATTTAGCCTGTTAGTTTCCTCTGTTTTAGGTGTCTTTTGTGTACGTACTAGAAGGGCCTGTGACAAGGAAGCCCTACCCCTGACAGGTATGTTACATGGCATACTGGTCTCCAGGCACTTGGGAGTTGAACAGGTACCAGAACTCTGGCCTGAATGTCTGCTAAGAGGAAGCTCTCTTTGTAGCTGGTCTAACAGTCATAACCTTTTTCAAAGAACAGAGGCTTCAGGTAGTCAGAGGACTAAGAAGGATGACAGGATGGTAAGATAGGAGTACCAACCCTCAGCCCTATTTACCAAATGTTGACAACAAATACTCTGAAACCTACATTTCAGTCTTCAAAATAACGGTAGCTATTGGAGAATGTCTAACCCCCAGAAGTGACTCATTCAGGTAAAAGAACGAAAACTCCTGGGTCAGTGCAAGGAGAAAACAAAGAAAAAAAGATTAGTAACTTAGAAACACTTTAATTAGAATGACGCACGGTTATAGAAGGCAGGCTTCGCAACCGCACCTGGACCTTTGAATCACCTAACAGCTTTTTGAAATACTGACTGACACAACGAAAATTGGCAAACAGTTTTAAAAGAAATTAAAGAAGACCCAAGTAAATGGAAAGACACCCTATGTTCACGAAGCAGAAGACATTATAAAGATGACAATTCTTCTCCCAGCTAGGATTTTGAAGAATTGCGTTGATCTACAAATTCAAAGCAATCTTTCAAAATCCTAGCTGGCTTTTTTTGCAAAAATTGGCAGGGTGATCCTAAAACACATATGAAAATGCAACAGACCTAGAATCTAAACCACAAAATCATGAAAAATAAGAACAAATTTAAAGGACCACCACTCCCCAGTTTCAAAATTGATGACAAAGCTGTAGCAATCAAGGAGTGTGGTACTGAACAGAAACACAGGTTAATGGAAACAAGTTGAGAGTCTACAAATAAATCATCACATTTATGGTCAATTCATTTTTGACAGAGGCATGAAAATAACTCAATGGAGAATTACTTCAATAAATAATACTAAGACAACTGGATATTCACATGCAAGAAATGCTGGACCCCTTCCTTACGATGTGACGTTAACTCAAATTATAAAACTCTTAGAAGAAAACATCACAGTAAATCTTTGTGACCTTGAATTAGGCAAAGTGTTTTTAGACGACACCAAAAGCACAAGCAACAAAGAAAAATCACATCTCTTCAAAATTAAAAACTTTTGTGCAAAGAGCATCATCTAGATGTAAAATGAAAAGAAAAAATTATTGTAACCAAATAAGTAAAATTTATCACAACTCAATAATAAAAATCCAAATAGCCCCACTAAAAAATGGACAAAGATTCTGAATTACCATTTCTCCAAAGAAGATATACTAATGGCCAATAAGCCCAAGAAAATATCATTAGCTATCAAAGAAATGCAAATCAAAACCAGTAACACTTCACACTCATTAGCATCAGTTCAGTTCAGTTGCTCAGTTGTGTCTCTTTATGACCCCATGGACTGCAGCACGCCAGGCTTCCCTGTCCATCACCAACTCCCAGCTCAAACTCATGTCCATCAAGGTGATGCCATCCAACCATCTCATCCTCTGTTGGCCCCTTCTCCTCCTGCCTTCAATCTTCTCAGCATCAGGGTCTCTTCCAATGAGTTAGTTCTTCGCATTAGGTGCCCAAAGAACTAGCTCATTGGAAAAGACCCTGATGCTGGGAGGGTTAGCACGGTTAGAATCAAACAGAAAAACAATGCTGCTGAGGTTGTGGAGAAACTGGAATCTTCATACATTTCTTTTTTTTTTTTTCTCACACATTTCTGGTAAATGTGTAATCATGCAACCTCTTTGGAGAAGAATGTGATAGTTTCTCAAAAGTTTAAAGAAGAGTCTCCAGAAGACCCATCAATTCTGCCCCTAAGTATATACTAAACTCGTCACATTAAAACAGGTTTCACACAAAAGTTCAGAGCATTATTCATAGCAGCCGAATGTCTATTAGCCAACAACAAAGAAAATGTGGTATATGCACACAATGGAATAGCATTCAGCAATAAAAAGGAATGAAGCACTGGTATATACTATAATATGGATGAACCTTAAAATATTATTGCTGAGTGAAAGAAGCCAGTGATTAAAAAAAAGAAAACACATGCTGTATGATTCTGCTTATATGAAATATCCAGAATAGGCAAATCTCTAGAAGAGGATTAGTGGTTTCTTGCTCTGGGGATGGTTAGGGAAATGAGGAGTGTGTGCTGATGAGGATGGGGTCTCTTTCTAGGGCAGTGAAAATGTTCTAAGATGAACTGTGGTGACAGTCACACAAGTCTGTGAATGCACTAAAAACAAACGAACTGTACTTTATGTGGAAGAACTAGATGGTACCCTAATGGACACACAGCCCTTCTCTCAGATTCTGCTTTAAATAGCAGTGGGGCCATGGCATCACTATTTTTTTTAAACATTCCCAAGTGAATCTATTAAGCATCCCAAGAGGAGAACCTCTGACCCAAGGAAAGAGGGGAGGAAATAAACAAAACTCCTCCTACCTCCTGGGGGTCCACCACACAGTAGTGATATAAATACTGATCCACATAGAGTCCAGTAGCTGCAGGTGTATAAAACTGGTTGCAGAGGGCATATATCTGTGAACTGTAGAGAGACCCAGAGGTCTGCGCTGTTGGATTGACTCCCATTATGTAGACAATTGTGGCAATAAACATCATGATGCCCAGGACGGCGTTCACTATTATCACAGTCAAATAATACCTTCTTGTTCTAGATATGCCTGACCTTATAACGCTGGTAACAAATATGACCAACGCGGCAATGAAACAAAAGGCAGCCATGGCCAGCAGGAATCCCTTTGCCGCTCTTGGATCTGTATAGCCTGCTCCATAGCCATAACCGTAGCCGTAACCGTAGCCATAGCCACTTCCGTAGGTACCAAAGGCGCTTCCTCCATAAGGGTAGTTAACACTACCTCCCATTAAGGTTCCGTAGCCTCTGTCCCAGGCAAGAGTGGAGGCAACACAGGCAAAGATGGCAATGCACATCACGATAACAAGCATGGACAGGATCCGAATTACTCCAGGAGGAGAGGTCCATTTGTAGAAGTGGAGAACTTCATCTTCCGGGTAGAAAGAATATGCTGGCTGAGACAGCATTGGTCGAACATGCATCTCTCCACTATATATGTCATTGCTTGGTGTGTAGTGATTAGGTTTGCTGAAATGCACACAAAAACAATTTTAAGTTAGCACTTTTTAGTGGTAAGCAGAAAGAACGTATAAAAGTACCTGGAATAATTTAAACAAACCACTGGCAAAGGAAACTATTATTTGTACTGCCCCACTGCAATGGGTCAATTTGTGTCTCCCCGCCCTTCCCAAATCAAGTATCAAAATCCCAACACTCATTGTAATGGTATTAGGAGGTAGGGTCTTTGGGAAGTAATTAGGTTATGAGGGTGGAGCTCTCATGAATGGGATGAGTGCCCTTATAAAAAGGGCCCTAGAGAGCCCTCTCACCCCTTCTACAAAGTGAGGATTCAAGAAATTGGCAGTCTGCAGTTTGGAAGAGGGCCTCCACCAGCACCTATCTTGGACTTCCAGTCTCTGAACTGTGAGAATAAATTTCTGTTGCCACCCAGTCTATGATACTCTACTACAGATATCCCCAGCAGACTCAGACACCCGCTGAAGAGTAAAGGAATCCGTGCAGACACATCAGCTTCACCTGGAGGGTTTGTTGGCCCTCATCCCCAGAGTTGCTCAGTCTGCAGGTCTGGAGCAGAAGTTTCCAGATGCTGCTGATGCTGCAGCTGGGGAACCATACATTGAGAATGACTGCTCAATTTCTATGGAGCAGAGGTTCTCAAGTTCTGCAGCATATTAGAGTCACCTAGGGAATGTGTAAAATCCCCAGACAGAGCACTCCAGACCAGTCAAACCATAATCGCTGGGGATGGGACCCAGGCAGTTAAGGACAATGGCATCAGTCCTTTTCCTTTGTGAATGGAGACCAATTCCTTCAGACGTGACACCTGCACTGGGCTATACTGGTGCAATTTCTGGCTGCCTAGCTCTCTTACTTAAGAAAGCACATTTACTCACTTATTCATTTTAGCAGCTGTCTACTGGAGCCACCAGGCTGACACATTTGGGGCTCTGTGCCAGGCACTGGGAACACAAGAACAGATGGGACAGCCTCAGTCCAGGCCCCTCAGAGTGCCCCACGCGGAGTTTAATGTCTTACTGCCCTGCCCCTCATAGGCAGGGCACTAAGACATTAAACAAATCACTACATGAGCTACTGCCAGTTAAGGCAAGACCTACAAAGCAGATGAAACGTTAATGAGGGCTCATTAAGATGATGGCTAAAAAAAGATGATGGCTAATGAGATCTTGACTCTTTTTTTATAAAAATACCCTGCAAACTCCAGTAATTTAACTATAAACACACAGTGTGTAACAGACACACTAACGTGTAGACAACTGAATCTAAAAACTGTGGGCCCTGGGGAGGTAAAATTCAATTCCTAAAATGACTAAAGCCCCTTTTGTTTTGGCCCTTATTTCCACAAACCACCTTCCTCAAGCCAAAGGAGATATCTTCCTACTGGAGGCTGCTAACGATAAGAATTAGATTAATTACTTGAGTATATGAGGATGAAAAGGAAATGGAGAAACTGGAGAACACTGAAAATGTGAAGGAAGAAAATTCTGTGACACATTCTACAAGGATATTTGGGTTGCTTCCGTTTGGGGCTGTCATGAACAGCATAGCTCTAACACAATCTCCAACTTATATCCTGGCACACAATGGCACTTTTTTTAGGGTATATACACAGGAGCAGAATTTCTGGGTCAAACTTTTAAAATTCTCAGCTCTTCTTAGACAATGTCACACTGTTTTCCAAAATGACTGTATCACTTATAATTCCATTAACAGTGTAACATTCACAGAAACATTACTTCTGATCATCTCAATTGGAAACAGTCCAAACATCTACGCACAGTGCCATGGATGACTGTGATAGAGCCTCACAATGGAATGCTACAGAGCTATGCTAACATGGCAGCCACTAGCCCAACAGACCAATGGAACACCTGAAAGGTGGCTGGTCCAAACTGAGATATGCTGTGAAGGGCAAAGCACAAAGTGCTCATCCTAGGAAGAATCTAACAGGAGATTCAGCAGGAGAAAACCCTAGTATCAACAACGTACTTCAGGTGATGTGTCAATATAGGTTCATCACTGTAACAAACATACCACTCTGGTGGGAAATGTTAATAATGGGGGAGGCTGTGCATGTGTCGGGGCAGGGAAATCTCTATAGGCCTTCCTCTCAATTTTGCTGTGAACCCAGAACTGCTCTACAAAACAAAGATTATGATGACATGGAAAACATACCAAGTGAAAGATTTCCGTCACAAAAGACCAAACACTGTAAGATGCCATCTATATGAAATGTCCAGAATGGACATATCCAGAAACAAAATGGACTTAGTGGTTGCCTAGTACTGGGGGGAACAAGAGAGTGCTACTGGACAGAGGGGTTTCTTTGGGAAGGGGATGACGAAAATGTGCTAAAACTGACTGTGGTGAAGGGATACACTAAAACCAATGAACTGCCCATTCTAAATGGGTAAACTGTATAGTGGGTGAATTTTATCTCAATAAACATGCTCTTTGAAGAACTATTGCCAACAGTCACCTAAATAAGGCACTGAAGGGCTTCCCTGGTGGCTCAGTGGTAAAGAATCCACCTGCCAATGCAGGAGACATGGGTAAAATCCCTGATCTGGGAAGATCCCACATGGCATGCGGCTACTAAGCCTATGCACAACTACTGATCCTGTGCTCTAGAGCCTGGAAGCCATAACCACTGAAACCCACACAGCCTAGAGGCCACACTCCGCAGCAAGAGAAACCACCACAGTGAGAAGCCTGCTCGCCCCAACTAGAGAGCAGCCCCTGCTTGCTGCCGCCGGAGAAAAGCCCTCTCACCAGTGAAGACCCAGCAGAGACAAAAATAAGGAAGGCATTACTATGGAAGCTTCACACCATTTTTTAAAAACAAACATACACACAAATATAAGCTCAGACTACAGTGTAGCAACAATGAAAAAACAAGTGGCAACAGCTCCCACTGCAGAAAAAAACTGTCATCTTGGAAGTTGAAGGTAAGAGGGGAGCTCACGCTTCAATGCATACCCTTTGGTTCAATTTGATTTTACAAATGCACGTCATTTTATTTTTAAAGCAAACACATAACAGATGAAAGTTTCAACTACACACTTTTTTTTTTAACATGTAATAGACTTTTAAAAAAGAAAAAGAGGAACTCCCTGGCTGTTCAGCAATTCGGACTGCGCTCTCACTTCCTGCCAAGGGCCCGAGTTCAATTCCAGGTTGGGAAACAATAAAATCTCACAAGCAAGGCCTAAAAAAAAAAAGAATTACATATTTACTTACAATTCATCAGGTCTATAAGGAGGTGGACTTTCAAAAGGCCTGGATGACATGGCTGGTGTCTATGGTCACTTGATCTTCAGGATGAGCACGGCCGGGAACCTCCTGAGATAGGCTGATCTAAGCAACAGAAGTAGGGTAATGACATTACTACTGCCCTTGGTTTCCTTGCATCACTAAGAAAACTAATGATAGCAATCTCAAATGACGTCTCACTCCATGGTTATTTCTCTTGTCCTTCCCACTGTCATTTTTGCACATTAGACCATTTATTTTTTGAGCATAAGAAATCATTGAGGGTAGGAATCATTTGGCCTGGTAGTCCTTGGAGCACTAACATTATGCTCTGCACATCCCTGGCATACGAATATAGTTTAAACTTGATTATAAGTTGCAGCAATGAAAGTTTCACAAAGCTGTTGACAGTAATAGGTAAAAATGGTATTTTTAAAAATAGTCCTTGAAGAACACACATAAAGATGTATAAATATAAATTTCTTAAAAGCCATTTATTCCATCTCATTACTTTTCAAAGTTCATAGAAAATAAGAATGCATATGAAAATACAAATATAGTTGTGTCTAGCATATTCTAGCCCTTCAATGTTAACTAAAACATCAGTTCAGTTCAGCTCAGTCATGTCTGACTCTTTGTGATCCCATGAATCGCAGCACACCAGGCCTCCCTGTCCATCACCAACTTCCAGAGATTACTCAAACTCATGTCCATCGAGTCGATGATGCCATCCAGACATCTCATCCTCTGTCGTCCCCTTCTCCTCCTGCCCTCAATCCCTCCCAGCATCAGGGTCTTTTCCAATGAGTCAACTCTTCCCCTGAGGTGGCCAAAGTATTGGAGTTTCAGCTTCAGCACCAGTCCTTCCAATGAACACCCAGGACTGATCTCCTTTAGGATGGACTGGTTGGATCTCCTTGCAGTCCAAGGGACTCTCAAGAGTCTTCTCCAGCACCATAGTTCAAAAGCATCAATTCTTCGGCGCTCAGCTTTCTTCACAGTCCAACTCTCACATCCATACATGACTACTGGAAAAACCATAGCCTTGACTAGATGGATCTTTGTTGGCAAAGTAATGTCTCTGCTTTTTAATATGCTGTCTAGGTTGGTCATAACTTTCCTTCCAAGGAGTAAGCATCTTTTAATTTCATGGCTGCAATCACCATCTGCAGTGATTTTGGAGCCCCAAAAAATAAAATCTGACACTGTTTCCAGTTTCCCCATCTATTTGCCATGAAGTGATGTGACCGGATGCCATGATCTTAGTTTTCTGAATGTTGAGCTTTAAGCCAACTTTTTCACTCTTCTCTTTCACTTTCATCAAGAGGCTTTTTAGTTCCTCTTCACTTTCTGCCACAAGGGTGGTTCCATCTGCATATCTGAGGTTATTGATATTTCTCCCGGCAACCTTGATTCCAGCTTGTGCTTCTTCCAGCCCAGCGTTTCTCATGATGTACTCTGTATAGAAGTTAAATAAGCAGGGTGACAATATACAGCCTTGACATACTCCTTTTCCTATTTGGAACCAGTCTGTTGTTCCATGTCCAATTTTAACTGTTGCTTCCTGACCTGCATATGGATTTCTCAAGAGGCAGGTCAGGTGGTCTGGTATTCCCATCTCTTTCAGGATTTTCCACAGCGTATTGTGATCCACACAGTCAAAGGCTTTGGCATAGTCAATAAAGCGGAAATAGATGTTTTTCTGGAACTCTCTTGCTTTTTCTATGATCCAACAGATGTTGGCAATTTGATCTCTGGTTCCTCTGCCTTTTCTAAAACCAGCTTGAACATCTGGAAGTTCACGGTTCATGTATTGCTAAAGCCTGGCTTGGAGAATTTTGAGCATTACAGGGGGATGGATTAAGACAATCCCCATGGAAAAGAAATGCAAAAAAGTAAAATGGCTGTCTGAGGAGGCCTTACAAATAGCTGTGAAAAGAAGAGAAGCGGAAAGCAGAGGGGAAAAGGAAAGATATTCCCATTTGAATGCAGAGTTCCAAAGAATAGCAAGGAGAGATAAGAAAGCCTTCCTCAGAGATCAATGCAAAGAAATAGAGGAAAACAACAGAATGGGAAAGACCAGAGGTCTTTTCAAGGAAATTAGAGATACCAAGGGAACATTTCACACAAAGATGGGTTTGATAAAGGACAGAAATGGTATGGACCTAACAGAAGCAGAAGATATTAAGAAGAGGTGGCAAGAATACACAGAAGAACTGTACAAAAAAGATCTTCATGACCCAGATAATCACGAGATTATCACCCAGATGATCACTCACCTAGAGCCAGACATCCTGGAAGGTGAAGTCAAGTAAGTCTTAGAAAGCATCACTACAAACAAAGCTAGTGTAGGTGATGGAATTCCAGCTGAGCTATTTCAAATCCTGAAAGATGATGCTGTGAAAGTGCTGCACTCAATATGCCAGCAAATTTGGAAAACTCAGCAGTGGCCACAGGACTAGAAAAGGCCAGTTTTCATTCCAATCCCAAAGAAAGGCAATCCCAAAGAATGCTCAAACTAAAGCATAGTCTGGTTTAAAAGTATGCTTCTTCTGTCATTTAAAAGGGTTACAAAAGCATCTAAGAATGCTAGGATTGTGGACATTTCCCCCTTATCTCCTTTTGCTAGTCTTCAAAATGGAATATAATTTTCAACAAAGAAAAAACATCAAACACACTGTATTAAAGAGTCCTGTTCACTAAGAGAAAAGTAGAATAATTTTGTTCTAAAATCCCTCAAAGCAAAAATCCCTGAACATCTGAGAAGCAATTTCACCTAATCAATAAGTGTTTATTAAGTACCTCCACAGCACCACAGCCGCCTGTGGAAGTTAAGATGAGACCAAGTTCTCCCGAAGGTAATGCACCAAGAAAACAGCATCTGCAGCAGGCATTATTTAGGGTTGTGCGATGAAGTGCAGTGTGGAGATAACAGGGAAGACCTAGCAAGAAAGAACCAGAGGCCTGGGGGCGGACGGGAGGAAGGACATGAGCAAGCAAGATCTATAACCTGAAAGTCTTTCATATTTTTTCTTTTTCAAACAAAAGGGTTGTGTAATCATATATTACATTAAGAATAGTAAATCAATTCAAACTCTTTAAACTTGATCTTTAAAATCAACAGCAAATATCCTCCACACCCTTAAGAACAGTCAATCACAAATTTCTCAATAAAATATTGCCCAAATATATTTCGGTAAAATCTCAAAGATGAAGTATACTAAATGTTAGTAACACCAACATGATTAGCATAATTTTCCAAACACAGTGAGAGAAGACAACTTCTTCACATTCTTTTATTTCTAAACACTGCTTTGTTGACATATAACAGAAAAATACACAAATCATAAGTGTATATGGCTCTGTAACTAACACCCAAACACACACAAACAGACAAGCAATTTAGGCCAAAGTATGACAGTGCTATGAAAAAGTCCAGATTTACTGTCTTCCTAATTGATGCTTAGAAAAAGAACTAAGGAAAACTGAATTTAAACACTATTAAATATGGCACCCTATTTCTGAAGCTGAGCATCAAACACTAGCACACTGACCTCGGAAGAGTCTTACCTCTTCTATAGCTAGGTGTCCCTCAGTCAAGATTACGCCAAAAATTCCAGGCTCAACGGTAGCTTTTGAAAATTCTAAATGCAGACTCAGGCTGCAGTTTTAAGCTTCACCAAAAATCCAGACAATTTTGCTTTCCAAACCATTGCCTGGATTCAGAGCATAGCTGTCTTGTCTCCCCTAAGAATGGAGATTTCAAATTGTGAAGTGAATACTTTCAGAAAGTTCATTAAGAAGAAGTCATGGCACATTAACTTCATTTTCTTTTTTGAGAAGGTTACCAGATTGGTAGATGAAGGGAATGCAGAGAGAATCCTGAGACTCTTGGACACATCCCCTGGTACAGAAGGTGGGTGAGCAGATTCCTACTGGGCTGAATAATGGAGCCTAATTAGGATGAATGAATGCACCACTTGTGTCCACCTGCAGGGAGGTCTCTAGTCATGACCCCAGACAACATGGACAAGTGTATCCAAATTTGCAGTTGACAAGACACTGGAAAGGATAAGTAACTCATTGGCTACAATAAGGCTGGAATAATGGACTAAACAAACCAAGTGGTTTCAAAAGGTTCACAATCTGAGAGGACAAATCCTTCTTCTCTTCTGTGAGCATTGCTAACTTCCTGAGTCAAAGAGGGAGATAATCCTCTTTGGGATGGGTTAGTAGGTAAGATAATGTATTAAAGAAGATGGGGTAGTAGGTAAGATAATGTATTAAAGAAGATGAGCAAAAAGCATTTTCAGCAAGATGATTATTCTGAAAGTGAGAAATTCCAGTGTTTAGGCACTTATGTGTACTGTATTCATTTTCAAATATTGGTGGCACGAATGAATCGTTTTAAAAATATAAAACTCAATTTAAAAAACTAGTTTGAGTACTAGATAAGGGAAATCTGGCTTAGTAACTGCTCATTTTTAAAAGTGCATTTCCTTGGGTCTTCCCTGGCAGTCTGGGCTCTCCTGGTGGCTCAGACGGTAAAGAATTCGCCTGCAATACCCATGGGGTCACACCGAGTTGGACACGACTGATCCACTTTCACTTTTTTCCCCTAGCAGTCCAGTGGTTAGGACTCTGCCCAAAGCAGACGGCTGGCCGGGGCCAGATCTCTGGTCAGGGAACTAGAACCCACATGCAGCAACTAAGACTTCGTGCAGGAAACAAGTGCATTTCCTTGATCAGAATTTCAACAAAGCTAACAAGTTATTCCAATCTCAGGCATTATTTACAGTTAGTGCTTAGATCTAGGAATGATACAGTTATTAAAAAGAAACAAACCCCCGTAGAACCCTGAAATTTGAACATCTTGTTCCAACTGGGTAACTCTTCAGGAGGTAGACGAGGATTGTTAAAGATCTAGAAAAACCACGTTTTAGGACAAATGACTGGAAAAACAGGAAATGTTTGGCCTGGAGCACTCAACATTAGGTCCACTATGGTAGCCTTCAAAGAGCTGAAGAGCTGTCTTTGT